CGAGAATCATTATAAAGTTTGCCTAAACGAAGGTACCTTTCAAAAATACTTTCAAACAAACACAAGCATATTTACAAAGCATTTTCAAAGTGAGCTAGAAACTAAGATCCCATAGATAACTACGGATGAAAAGGGTGCTAACACCTTCCCTTTTCATAACCTACCCCTAGAACTCAAGAAAAATTCTCAAAAGGTCTTTCATATTCTTTTCACCCTTTCCTTTATTGGATAAAAGAAAAGTCGGTGGCGACTCTTGATATCCGCAACAATTGCGATCAAATGCAAAACATCCAAGTCAGTTGTCCCACCGTATCAAAACATGCATTTCGAGAGAACAAGAATTATACTTCTAACACACCCTCTAATTCATGTTCTCGAGACTTCTCATCCTGATGCTTCTCTTTAACTCGTTGAATCTGAATTTCTTTAGAGGTTTGGTAAATATGTCAGCTAGTTTCACTTCTATCTTACAATGTTTTATCTCTAGCTTCCCTTTGTTGACTTGATCCCTCAGAAAATGATACCTCTTTTCTATGTGCTTACTTTGACCATGACACACTAGGTGTTTCGCCAAGTTAATAGTTGACTTGTTATCGACAAACAACTTAATCTTCTTAGGTTTCGTTATCCTGAGTTCTTCAAGTAACATTTTGATCCATGCTGCTTGGCATGCATCATATGATGCAGCCACATATTCTTCTTCACATGATGACAAAGCCACGATGCTTTACTTCCTCTAACTCCAAGAGATTGGAGCACCTTCGATCATGAAAATGTAGCCCGCATTACTTTTCTTTTCGTCTTTGATCTCCACTGAAATCTGAGTCAGTGTATCCATGAACTTTAACATATGTGATGTTCTTTGACTTCTTTGGTAACAACACACCATGCTCAGTTGTTCCCTTTATGTACCTCAACACCCTATTTATTGCGATGAGATGACACTCTTGTGGTTTCTCTATAAATCTACTCAACAATCCTACACTTTGACATGTATCTGGTCTACTATTGCAAAGATATCCCAAGGATCCAATGATTTATTTGTAAAGGGTCGAACTTACAAACTCATCATTCGTTTCCTTTTTCAACTTTGCTCCAGTTTCTAACGAAGTGACAACTTCATTACAGTTGCTCATTTTAAACCTCTTCAAAATATCTTGAGCATACTTTGTTTGGTGCAAGAATACTCCTTCTTCAGTATTTTTGAATTTCATCCCTAAGAAATATGAGAGATTCCCTAAGCCAGATATTTTAAATTCTTGCATTAATTTCGACTTTACCTTCACTATCTCAGTTTCGTCTGCTCCTATGATGAGTAAGTCATCAACATAGAGGCATAAAATGATTCAACTAATATTGTTGATATTATTTACATACACTCCATGTTCAGAGACACACTTTGTGAAACCTGTTTCGATCAGGAAGCTATTTATTCTCTTATTCCAAGCTTTAGGGTCTTGTTTCAAACCATAGAGAGCCTTCCTTAATCTATATACCTTTGACTCATGCCCTTTGACATTGAATCCTGGTGGTTGAGTAGCATAGACTTCTTCTTCCAATGACCATTCAGGAATGTTGATTTTACATCCAACTGATGCATCTTTCATCCTCTATATGATGCTGTCAAAACAACAATTCTGATTGTTTCTAGCCTCGCAACAGGCGCATGTACTTTGTTGAAGTCGATACCAGGTTTTTGTAGAAAACCTCTCGCAACCAATCTTGCTTTATACTTCACAATATCACCATTTGGCCTTCGTTTCACCTTGTAAATCCACTTTACATCGATTGGTTTCACACCAATTCGAATTTCTCATGGCTTCATCCAAATCAGTTGGTGTTGCTTCATCCGTCATCATGGCTTCTTCGATTAAGTCACCATTTGCATCAACTGCTTGATCTGGAAACCTTTCATATCCAGTTAGCCTTTTCGACTCTATTCTTGTTCTTATCGATCTTCTTTCATTTTGCATTATTGGTTCTTCATTTTGACTGGTTGAAGCATCATCTTATTCATTTCTACTGGTTGAAGCTTCATTTTGTTCATCTTCTTCGAACACAGTTGTGACTGTATCTGATTCTCGTCAAACTGAACTTTGACCTCAGTCCCACCCTTTGTTTTCGTCTATAAGAACATCTCGACTGATTACTAGTTTATCTTTGTTTGGCGAATACAACATGTACGCACCAGTCAAATGATAACCTATGAGCAATGTGACTTCACTTTGATCATCCAGCTTCTTTCTCAATTGTTCAGGTACATGCCTGAAGCACATTGATCCAAAAAATTTAAGATGACTCACATTTGGCTTCGATCCTGTCCAAGCCTCATGAGGTGTCTTTTCGACCATATTCTTTGTTAGGCATCTATTTAGAATATATATTGTTGTCAAAGCTGCTTCAGTCCAAAATCTTTTAGGCGTATCTTTAGCTTTCAACATACTTCTCGTCGTGTTCAGTATACTTTTATTCTTTCTCTCAGCTATGCCATTATGCTGAGGCGTATAAAGTGAAATAACCTCATGATCTATACCTTCCTCATTGCAAAATCTATCAAATTCAACAGACGTATATTCACCACCACCATTAGTTCTTAACCTCTTCAATTTACAGCCACTTTGTTTCTCAGCATGCAACTTGAACTTCTTAAACTGTGTGAATACCTCACTCTTCCTTTCAATAAGGTAAATTCACATATGTCTGGTGAATTCATCAATGAAAGTAAGAAAATACTTGTTACCTCCATTTGACTTTACTTCAAAAGGTTCACACACATCAGAATGAACCAACTCCAATTTTTTCTTTGATTTCACAGGTAAGTCATGTTTGAATGCCTTTCTAGCCTGTTTTGCTTTGCAGCATTCCTCGCATACCTGTTTTGGTTCCTTTACACACGACAACCCAAACACCATCCTTTTCTGATTGAGCATGCATAAACTTCTGAAGTTTAGATGTCCATACCTGTGATGCCATAGCCAGTTCTTGTCTTCTTCTGTAGTTGAAGCAAGACATTTGTGATCTGATGTGTTGAGTTCAACTTTGAACATTTTATTCTCCCCCAATGATGCTTTCATTATTAGCCTCTCATCAGCCATATATACCTTCATCTGATTCTTCTTCAGCTTCATATTGAAGCCTTTTGCAAGCAATTGACATACACTTATCAAGTTACTTATCATAGAAGGTACATACAACACTTCAGTGATAGTAGCTTTTCGACCATCCTTCCTGACAATCAAAATATCTCCTTTACCACGTGATTTGATGTGCCTACCATCTGTAAACTTTATCACATTCTCGATTGACTCATCTAACTTGGTAAATCAGGTTTTATTTCCAGTCATGTGGTTGTTGCATCCTGAATCCAGATACTACATGTTGTTTTTCTCAGTGTTCAACTGAGTGTTCACCATCAATAACACATCATCAGAATCAATATCTCCTGCTCGTGTATATTGAGCTTCATCACTATCTTTCGCCCTCACAACTTTCTTTCTTCGACAGTCTCTAGCATAGTGACCAAAACCTTAACAATTGTAACATTGCACCTCTTTCGTGTCAACTTTCTTCTCAAAATACTTGCTGCTCACGCCTTTCTTAATCGAAACAGCATTCTTGCTTGACTTCTCATCACTAGCAAGATCTTCCGCTGCTTCGACTTCTCTTTTCTAGCTTTTTTGCTGAATCTTGATTGCAATGCTTGTTCAGTCACCTTCTCTCTTTCTTAATTTCTCTACTTCAACCTCATTTCATGAGCCTCCAATGAAGCTTGAAATTCTTTCAACTTTATCTCAGATAGAGTCTTGGCCTCTTCAATTGTCACTACAATATAATCAAAATCTACAGTTAAAGATCTTAACACTTTCTTAATCTTCTACAGATCCGTAATCGATTCACCATATTCCTTCATCTAATTTGTTAGCGTCACAATTGTTGAGAAATATGCAGAAATTGATTTATCTGCTTTCATTTGAATCATCTCGCATTGCTTCCTTAGTGTCTGCAACTTCACCTTCTTCAATTTTTCATCTCCACCATACAAACTCTTTAACTTGTCTCACGCTCCTTTTGTCATTTCTTCTTCAATTATCTTCTCAAATACATCAGAATTCACACACTGATGAGTCAAGAACAAGACTTTACCGTCTTTCTTCCTTTGATCTTTGTGCGCAGTTTTATGGACTTCTGTCGCATTTATTTCCAGTTCTGGTAATCCATCGTTCAAGATTTCAACATCTTGAAATCTGAAAATAACATTCATTTGTGCAATCCATCATTGATAGTTTTCTCCTTTGAAAACCGGTAGATTTACTAGAAACTGCGTTGACGTTGTTGTTCCGTTTGCCATTAAATTCTCTCTGAATCGCAATCGGGATCTGTTATACCAATTTATTGGAACAAAGGATTTTCAAAAAAGATGATTTATGAAAGAGAAAGAAGAAAAAAGAGAGAGAGATATTGAAGTTTGTTGTGATTCTAACTGAATTGTAAAATTGGTTACACACACGATTACAAACTCAACATCCTTTTATATAGGCAAACAATGCCCCAGTCCAATTAGACAAAACACGTTAAAGTCCAAAACATAATTTCAACATACTATAATATCTATTGTATTCGACTGTGTCGAATACAACTTATAATATATAAAATAAACTATTTGATATACATCATACACATGTATTTTGACAGAACATGAATTATACTTCTAACACATGTCTTGCGGGTCAGCAACAAATATGATTTCAAAGTTGTTAGAAACTTATTGATTGTCTTCATATTCTACCAGCTTTGAGTTTCCCACCTTGGTGATTATGCCCAAATATTTAGTAGTTGCATTGTGATAGGCGATCTTATTTTCATATTTTGTTTAATGGTGACGCTCTTGGGTTTGCTATTACTTTCATAATTTTGATGCACCTTATTTTAAGCACGTTGAGCTCTTCGAATTCTGGAACTTTCTTCCATAGTCTCTTGCATATAAGTTGTTACTTTCTTTGTTAACTAGTACCTCCCAACCCTTTTTTGTTGAAAGAATTATTTCTTTCAGACCTATCAAAGGTTTGCGCAACAGCTTTGTCGAACACCGTACTACAGTGAGGACATAGCATAACCTCTTTGTTAGTATTGCACCTTGTATGAAACAAATGCATGAATTAGTGTGGTGACCGAATGTGCAATCATATGTAAAATAAGTTTCAATTCTTGATCTATGCGTTTTAACTAATCTTTGACTAGGTTTATTGTAACGTTGTCGTCGTTAACCTTCGTATTATCGTCATTTGTATTGAGGTCTTCAATCTGTATACGCTTAACATCATCCTTAGAGGTACAATGTTAACTTTCATATCACCAACTTGAGGTATGTTGTCAACTTTTACATCAATAACATTCACATCAATGAGATATTCTTGAGGAACATTTATTTCTGAAACGATGCAAACAATTTAAAAACAAAACAATTTCATGAAACACTTAATTCAAATTCTAGGATCCAAAATCGCACCATGGGGATTTGCAAGGTTTTTAAATTGTACAATATGAAGGAGCATCAGAAGCCTGCTCAAGTTCTACAATCTGAATTAAACCAACACATACTAAGTGGCGTGAATGGAACGAAAATACTATAAAATACAATGAGAAAGGTCTAAGAGACGCATTACCTTTGCATTTCAAACAAAAATGGTGTGCTTAGAGTCCATTGATAATACCGTTGCCATTTGAAACACATTTCATGCTCTTAAAAGGTTGTAGGCTTTGAAAAGTAGGGGAAACTGGTGAGCATGAGTTTTAATTTAATTTTTGGACATAAAATATATTGATATGATTCTGATTTCTAAAATATGAAAATTTCAAAATATATTTTTGTCAAAATAAGAGATTTTAAGGAATGTATCCCTTAAGACTAAAAATATTAAGGTATTATTCGTATTACACCTTATTTTCTGTTTAGAGGAGAAAAGTTCAAGTCCATAATAGATATGTAGACTTGATTTGCTAAGCCAAATAAAATGTGATGTATAGAAGTCAAACCAGAACTTCTAAAACCATCCACTATATCATACTCCTATCTCTTGTGCCTAAAAATTACATTGATTGCTAGCTAAAAAAAAGTCAAGCCAAATAGTCAATAAGCACAGTCCCGTCGAAGATCTTCGGCTAAACCTAAATTAGGCGCTACAAACACACAGAAGAGGAAAATGATATATTTGATGCAAGCAACACAGACTTTGTGCCTCTCAAACATATAAACGAACAAAATAACACACAAGAGGTAATCTTCATCATGCTTCAGATAGCACATGATTTAGACATATAATAACTACTAATGAATCCACTAACGAAAGTAAAACAGCATAAAGATTATAGAACTAGAAAGCATAATAGAAAACACTTGAGCCCAGAATTGATACGGTTAAAACTAGACAGAGGAAAAATGGTTCAACAATTAGGATGCTATACTGCAAATCATTTCATTTACTTACAAAACTGTGAGAAATGAAAACATAGTCAGTGAGATAGATCACATACTTTCTAAAAAATAACAGGAGATAAAAATCACAAACCACAAAGTTGAATAACTAAAGGTGTATGGAGTGGATGAAACCTGCATCCCATTATTTGTTTTTGCATTTAACTCTCTTAAAACAGAGCATAGAGACCAGAGTGCATCAGCTGCTTTGAATTTCAGATGAACCTGTATGAAGAACAAATCATCAAATTCACAAGCTTTGCCCAGCGTGCAGAAAGTAACACCCAGTTAACCTTTTACAATGTTCTAATTGACTTTGCAATAAAATATCACTTTCTATCTTCGAGTGATTATTATTTTAGTGTTTATTTACAGCATAGATGAACCACAATCATTTTACAAAATCAAACAATAGATACTAATATCATTAATTGTTCTAGACAGTCTATGTTACTTTCATTAATCGGAGTGATAACAAAAGTTCTGAACAGTCTCGACAATACATGAAATTATGATTTCTTCATGCCAAGGATTTGTTGAGGACTAACATTTCATGTACACTTACACATAAGCAGCAATTTTTTAGAGAAAATGATACTGTATTTTTCTCATCATTTTCTTTTTTAGCTTTTGAAAATAGGTTCAGTTTATATAGAAATTTTGAAAATGCAAAAAAATTGTTTTCATTGTTTCTAAAAATACATTATCCCTAACTAGCCTTCCATCTCTCTATGTCATAATTGTCCAATGCAGAAAATTTTAAAAATGAAAAGTTGAAAATGTTTCAGAAAGTTAACAGACTCTTACACTTCCTTTGTTTGTGCCACTTCTCTATACTTCCATACCAGTTCCACTGGAAACATAGTGCTGCAATACGTAGTATTCCAGCAGTAACAACCTCAACAAATGCCATTAAGAATGACCTCTGAGGCGATAAACCTGAAGTTGCTAAGGATAACGCGATACCCTCCATATTGCAAGAAATGAAAAAACTGCCACGTCTTATGCCATCAAAAGCTTTCTTAGCAACTTCGTCAGCTTTCATAAAACCAGAAGAGGATGCAATGATTTTGGTGAGCTCTGGTTTTTTCTTATTTTCTGCAAAATTAACCTTAAAGTTTGTTATTATACTTTGATTACACTAAAGAATACATAAATTTCTCAAGAGATTGCATAAAATGGTACTTGGCATGAAAAAATCACAATTTATAATAAGGATTTCAGACTGAGCTAACAATATCCCACATGACAACACATCATATTCCCAAAGACACTCATAACTTGGAAGCTAGATTTACTAAGAGGACAAGATATATTGAATTACGAACAAACTAATTGATGTAAAATTTTTTCCACAAATGAAATAATTTCAGAGTTGTGCATTCAAGCACTTTAGTTGTAGGCCCTGTTCCCACATCCATGTTGAGGTTGAAATAAACTAATGAGTTGTTTAGATAAGGTTACTTACCTGATTTTTAATGTAAAATAAACCTAGATCCATTGCCAAAAGTAATATGTGTGAAAATATAAGCTCAAGTGTCCAATTTATCACCTTCTACAAGTCCAGGAGTATCTGTGTCTGGAGGGAATATCAGAGAGACATGAATATTATCTTCTATAACCTCTTGTTGTAATGCTTCTGCTAAACCACGGAGGCCAAATTTACTGGCCGAGTAAGCTACATAACCATAAATTCCCACCTAGATATAGACTCCACATTAAAAAGAAAACAAAAAACCACATCATTAGATCATCTCTTGATCAACCAGAATTATAAACTTTGAAGAGTCATACTACTAAATATGAGTACTTCACCACAGAAAAGAAAATATTAATGCAAGTGTTGAAATGATACAGTAAAAGTTATAACATATAATAGTAAAAAACAGCAACCAACGGTGGCTAAGCCTAGCGGAACGGGCAAGTCTCCATTCACTCTAACAAGCCAACTCTAAGGGTATGTTTGGATTGGTGGTATGGGATGGAATGTAGTGGTTGTAACTAATGGGATTCCATTGTTTGAATTTGCAAATAATGGATGGAACAGAACATGATGGAATCCATTTCATCCAATTTTCCATTTTTTGTTCCATCCAATTTGGGGTGTATGTGATGGAATGAGATATTTTTAATAAAATAACCAAACAAATGGAAAGGGATATATATTCCATTCCGCTCTGCTCTATTCCACTCCGCTATATTTCATTCCGCTCCGCTCCGTTATGTTCCATCAATCCAAACATAGCCCTTGGAATATTTGGATTGGTGGAATGTGATGGAATGGTATATAATCACATTCCATTGTTTGGATTTGCAAATAATGGATGGAGCATAATGGGACCTGATGGAGTCCATGTCATCCAATCCTTCAATTTTCATTCCCCTTATTTGGAGTGTATGCTGGAGTGTATGCAATGGAATGAACTAATTTGTTATGTTCCGTCAAGTTATAAAAAAATACACAAACAATGAAAAAGGTATAGTATAGAAAACAAGGTCAACCTCATATATCACTATACAACCTATGTTTCTTCAGAAAGCATTAACATCATTGGGCCATTTAATCAAACATCTCTAGTCACTAATACAATGTTAGAATTTCCAGAATTCAAAATCCAATTCAAATGAAATACCTGACCAGCCTGCGACGAAACCATTGCAATGGAAACCGGTAAAACATTCTTCCTATTCTTCATTGCAGGCAAAGCAGCTTTAATCATATTAAAACAACCCATCAAATTAATATCCAACGTAGACTTCACCTCACTCATCTCCATTTTCTCCAGCTCCAACGCAGAGAACACTCCATGGTTCAACAACAACACATCAATAGCCCCCGCTTCATCAACAGCCTTCTTCACCACATCGTAGTCCCGCACATCCGCCGCAAACACCGCCACCTCGACTCCCGTAGCGTGCTTGATGGAGCTCCTAGCTTCCTCCAGCTTCGTCAACGATCGCGCCATGATGGAGACGCGAGCGCCGTCCGCGGCTGCGCGGTGGGCGAGGGCGAGCCCGATGCCGCTGGATCCGCCGGTGATGAAGACGTGACGGTTGACGATTGGGATCTTGACTGGACGGGGGCGGACTATGAAGTAGAGGATTGGGAGGAGGATGAGAGGAAGGAGGACGAAGAAGGAGAAGAACGCGTCGGCCATTGATGCAGCTTCGAAATCGAAAGATTGAGTATAAAAACTCTGAATTTTGGGAAGAAATTCAATTTCTATGTCATTGTTCCAAACTGTTATGGTTGTTTGGGTAAGGTTTTGGCCTTAGTCACCCAAATTTCATTAATTCCAATTTTGAAACAAGGAATGAAATGAATGCATGTTATATTGTTGTTTTTGATAGATGTGATTGCCTATCAAATTACATTGGTAACAATCTACATTCATAAATAACCATTCAAGTTGTGTAATAAATATTTCAATTAAATTTACTACAACATCATCCTTTTTTTTCTTTCTATTTTCTTTAGATTATCTCAATGAAAGTAGTCTTATTGGAATTGTATTCCTATTAAGTGTAAATATTTATTTCTATAAAATAAATATTTATTTCTATCAAATTTAAATATTAATTTATTTTTTTTATATAAGTTAGACATTTTCTATCAAACTAAAATTCTAATTCAATTTATAAATATTAATAATATATTTACATTACTACATAAACATAAATGAATGTTTCATCTAAAATTGAACTTTTGACCAACAACTATTAATAAAACAAAAAACTTACATTCATTTAAATCAAGTAACACATCTCAGCTGAGTTACATCACTCATTCAATTATGATTTAATTTTATAAGTATATATCCTTTTCGTGATAACATTTAACAATTTGTAATAAAACTATGAAGGATGTATTTTGTA